TATATATGACTCCAAACGAGTCACCCATTTCAGTGACGTATTTCTCATTGTTGGCTTGGGCTATGAATAATCCTAATTAATGTTTCACTACATGAATGTTCTTGTTTTTTAGCCATCTTGTAAGCCATTTTCTTCTATAGTATCAATTATTACAGCCTCTGGTTTTCAATCTAGTTTACATGACAGAAGACTGATATCTAAATTTGGTTACAATATACTTATTGTGACATTTCAATAGAGGTTTGTAATTTCAAGCACATTTACCCAATTAGTCTCTGTGTGCTTCACATTTAAAGAATTTGTGTTAAACAAATGACAACATATAAAAGCAAAATTAAAATATGCAACAAACTCACTGAAACACTATCTCCCCCCTCCCACCCTGAAATTACAACTTAGTGTAAGGATCCAAGTCTCTCAAAATCACATTCCATTTTAAGCATTTTTACATTTAAATTTATTAATTTTCTGTTCTCTGAATTTGTAACTAAAAACTAATGAAAAAAATGAAATGCTGTTTTCCTATTTAAAAAATAGTGATGCTAGATAAATAATATTAAAAGTGCCAGATCATAATGTAGTGGGAATTCTATTTCCATACAACACAGATACATAAAATGTACATACATTATGAACATTTAGTAATAGAATTATCTTTAGAGAATACATGCACATTTAACACCAAGCAGTTTTGTCTTGATAATTAGAAAATTATATTTAAATCTTACAAGATTTGATTTAGAAAAGGACTCTATGCACTGAAGTTTGTCTAAAAACATGACTTTTTTAAAAAAAAATTTATTTTCTATGACAGAAAGCAACGAAACAAACTGAGGACACTTAAAAGGATTGGAACATACATCAGAAAAACTTGTATCATGCTAGCATTAAGTACCTTTGTCATTCCTATGAACTCCCTGAGACACATGGCAAAAACAGAATTATAGGGCTGGGAGGGACCTTGGAGATCTATTAGTTCAACTCTTTGCCCAAGGCCGGAGACCTAGTACCATCTGCCCAATCTTTTCTTGAAAACCTCCAGTGATGAAGCATGTATTTGAAAAAACAACAACTAATGAAATAGTACCTTTTTTAAATCAATAATCTTGGAGAAATTAAACAATCTTAATTACTTACAACCATATTATAGGCATCAGGAACCTCTATTTCAAACTGAAATGTTCCATTTCGATAATAACCTTCATCTGTTGAGAGAAACAAACTATATGAAATTCTATAGAAATATTAGTTTGCATTTTCTAAACAGAAATAATTCTAATTTTGATAAGTAGCATGAGTTAAGTTTAGCCAACAAGAATTGAAAACACCTGCTTTGTTTTATCAAAGTAGAACATTATAATGGGCCATGAAGGCTACGGAAGTTCACAGAATATGTATGTATGTATGCAGGAAACAATACAATAACATTAAAATTGAAAGTCTGGTGGAGGAGGAGCCAACGTCGCGACGATATGGGCATGCGGTCTAGAAGCTCTGAGACTGCAGCCAATACTTTTGCCACTGGGTGGTCCAATCGGACCTAAATCATCCTGAAGAGACGGTGAACAGGAAGAATATGTCTTGCTGACCTCAGGGATATCCTGCTCATTGTCAGGATGAACCCTTATGAAAACAAATGAGAGAAGGATCAGAGATGCTAGGGAGACATAAATAATGACAATGAGTGATGGCCAATCATTTTCAGATCAAGTCCCTTGTGAATCATTTTGGGAACTAATTAAAAGCAGACAGGTTCAGAAAGAAAAGAAGCTGAGATCATAAAGCACTTGCAGATATACTACCATAATGCTTTATTATGCAACACCAGTACTAAAGCACAATGATAAATGAGCTCATTATTCATTAGTTATTATTTTAATAACTAGTCACTATACCTTGTTTTATATTTAGAATAGAATAGAATGAGTTGGAAGGGACCTTGGAGGTCTTCTAGTCCAACCTCCTGTTCAAGCAGAACTATACCATTTTATATAAGTGACTGTCTAGACTCTTAAAAATAACCAGTATTGGAGCATCCACAATTTCTGGAGGCAAGCTGTTCCACTGGTTAATTGTCCTCACTGTTAGGAAGCTTCTCCTTAATTCCAGGTTGCTTCTCTCTTTGATTAGTTTCCAACTATTGTTTCTTGTCCTGCCCTCTGGTTCTCCTGAAAATAATTTGACCCCCTCTTCTTTGTGGGATGCTTCCCCTAATTCTTCTTTTCTTTAGACTAGCCAAACCCAAATCCTGCAGCCATTCTTCATATGTTTTAGTCTCCAGGCCTTTGATCATCTTAGTTGCTCTTCTCTGAACTTTTTCCAAAGTCTCAACATCTTTTTTGTAGTATGGTGACCAAAATTGGTTGTAGTATTCCAGGTGTGGTCTTACTATGTAGGGTTTTGTAAAGCAGCACCAATACTTTACATGATCTTGATTCTATGCCTCTGTTTATACAGCCTAGGATTGTATTATCTTTTTTGCCGGTGGCTGCACACTGGTGACTTATGTTCAATGTTCATCCGCTTTGACTCCAAGGTCAAAATTACTGTTTTTCAGCCAGGTCTCGCGTAATCTGTAATCAAACCTTTGATTTTTTTTTTGCCTAAATGTAAAACTCTTGCTTTTCTCCACATTGAAATTCATTTTGTTGGAGAGGGCCCATTGCTCTAAGGTTTGAAGTTTGTCAAGATCTTTTTGGATCATGAGTTTGTGTTCTGGGATGCTGACTATCCCTGCCAGTTTATTATTCATCTATTTGAAGTTTATAGAGTTGTTATTTAAATGCAGACAGTTACATAGATGTATTGTATTTTTTGGAGTATAAGATGCCTAGGTTATGTGATGGCTAAAAGGTCATAGCTGTGTTTTGTATACTTATCACTTCAGTGATCATCTACTTATTGAGCATTCTTAACTTCACTTGAATTCTAAGAGAAGATATATGGAGGAAAATTCTTTGTTGAGATCCAGCCATGTTGATGGAAGGAGAGGTTACAAAGTAATAGGAGATGTATAATTAAAAAATTAGAAAAATGGAAAAATCACTACTGTCATTCAAATTCTTTTTATTCTGCTCTGAATTTCCATTTGATGCTTATTTATGCTTCTGAGTATCCTTTTGGACAAAAGGGGGTTTAGAGAGAACTATATAAACAATGTCTCCTTTGATGTAGTCTCCTTCTTTTGGAGAGCTCCAAAAGAAAATTTATTAACCCAAAACAATTATAAATGACCTAAATGAAAGAGAAGAGATGCTTATCAAACTTGCATTTGATCTTAACAGGGATTGTACAATTCAATCTTATATCAATAGAGTTGAATTCTGAGTAAAATCCAATAGGAAGATATTCAACAATAATTGGGGTACTCAAGATTGAAATGCAGTGGAGTACCTCAAGGGGATATTTTAAACCCAATATTCGTCAACATCTTCACAGTTATTTAGATAAGGTGATAGAAGGTAAACTCATCAAATTTGCAGATGATAACAAGTGGGGGGAGCAATACTAATGCTTTAGAACAGGGGTATCAAACTTATGTAATCATATTGTCATCATGTGTATCATGACTCCCCCCCCCCTTCTCTAAAACGGGGATGGGCATGGCCAGCACCGGGTGCATCCAGCTGCTGGCCGGAAATTTGAGACCAATGCTTTAGAAGATAGACTCAACATATAGAAGGATGTCAACACACTTGAACGTTTAATTCTATCCAATAAAATGTAATTCAGTGGTGACAAGAGTAAGGTCTTTCACTTAGGCAAGAAAAACCAAACGAACAGGTGTAGAGAGAATAGGTGGTATCTCACTGACTAGTAGTAGTGACTGTGAAGAGGATCCAGCTGTCATAGTGGACTCCCCCTTAACTATGAGCCAGAAGTGCTGCAGCTGCCAAAAAAGCCAATGCAGACCTAAGCTGCATCAACAGAGAACAATATCAAGAGCACAAGAAATGTTAGTACCGCTTTATACTCTTCTGGTAAGATCATACTTGGAATTCTGCATCCAGTTCTAGTCACCATGACATTAAAAAATATTGAGACTTCAAAAACAGTGTAGGGAAGGGTAACAAAGATGATTAGGTGACTGGAGGCTAAACTGTATGATGAACAGTTGCAGGAACTAAGCGTGCCTAGTCTGACAAAGGGCTAGGAGTAACATGTCAACAGTCTTCCGATATTTGAGGGGCTACCACAGAGAAAACAGTGTTGAGCTAGTCTCCAAAGCACCCAGGGCAAGAGCCAGAGGGGAGCTTATCAAAGCCAAACTGGAATTAAGGAGAAATTTCCTGACAGTGAGAACAATTAATCAAAAAAAATGTCTTGCCTCCAGAAGTTGTGGCACTCCATTACTAGACGTTTTTAAGAAGAAGTTGGATGGCCATTTTTCCAGAATGGTGTAGGGTTTCCTGCTTTACCAAGACCTCCAAGGCCCCTTCCAACTCTGTTATTCTGTTATATGTAAAGTCTTAAACCCTGTCAGAAAAAAAGTGAATGGTTATTTGAAATGGGAAGTCATGTTGACAGCCATGTAAAAAGATGATGAGGGGACCACTGAACCCCAAAAAGCAATGCAATATTATAGGGAAAAGCTCCATTGCAATCCTGGGCCACATTGAATACAAACACCGCATCTAGATATCACACACTGTTAATATAACTAGTCCTTGCTACTGCAGTCTGAAACCTGGGCTCCTTTCAAAGGATAGCTACCAAGATAAGGAGCCTAGAAACTAAGTTCTATGGGGAAGATTAAAGGAGTTAGACAGGTTTGGCTTTCTGAGGGAGTCAAGTATAAAAATGAAGCAACATGAGTTCTAGCAATGCACAAGCTAGTCTGGATCTGACAATTGGTAGTCATCTTAGACAGGATTGCACATCTGAGGGACCTGTGATAGGACTATAACTTGATGCTATTGTTTGCTGTTGAAGTTGGGTTCAGTGATACTTCGGTCCTCATCATTAATTGTTTCTGGGAGTAGTGAATGTTGTGCCAGTAATGAAGAATATTGGGACAACATTTGCACCTCAAAATGTTTTGAGTACCAAATTCGAAGAGTTTTGAAGCAGTCTGAGATAGCACTTTATATGTGATTGTTCCCTGCAAGGCTACCTGCTCACCCGATTCAACCACAATAAAAGTGACCATGGGAATGCTGAAATCGTTGGGTGAAAAATGGTCATAACAGCCATGGTGGCCCAGTGGTTAGGATACAATATTGCAGGCTAATTCTGCTGACTGCCAACAGTTTGACTCTCACTGGCTCAAGGTTGATTCAGCCTTCTATCCTTTCAAGGTCAGTAAAATGAGGACCCAGATTGTTGGGGTCAATATGCTGTAAACTGCTTAGAGTAAAGCACTATGAAATGGTGTATAAGGCTAAATGAAAGTGCTATTACTGCAAGTCACTTTTTCAGTGCAGTTCAAACAATTGCTAAACGAATGATTGTAAGTCGAGGACTACCTGTAAAATGTACTCTTTTAGAATTTCCATTTTAAAATACTAAAATCTTTTCACTTTTCAATTCACTCATTTTTAAGGTAAATTGGCATTCCACCATCCTATGGACTTTTTGGTAACCAATAACTTTTGGATTTATTTATTTTTTGTTTAACCAAGGCAAGGCAGCATTTGCTGGGTGGCTGCATAATATTGTAAGGGGATGAAACTTGCCAAATTTCATAGATCACAGTTCAGGTATTTTCAAATTAGCTTTTTGACTAGTAACTATTTGGTCTGCCCATTTCTACAACATCCAGAAAGCTCCATTGATATTCCCTAATATAATAACTGAGGTGCACACTCAGGACCAGAACAAAACTAGAATCATAGAGTTGCAGGGGTGGAAGGAACTTGGAGGTCTTCTAGTCCAACCTGTTGCCCAAGGCAGGTGTCCTTATACTATCCCAGTCAAAAGATTTTCCAATATTTTCTGAAAACCTCCAGTAACGGAGCACCCACAACTCAGGGAGACAAGTTGTTCAATTGATTTATTGTTCTTATTATTAGGAAATTCCTTATTTCTGATGAGCTTCCATCCATTGCTTGTCTTGCCTTCATGTGCTATGGAGAATAAATTGACGCTCTCTTCCCTGTGATAGTCTTTCAAGTATTAGAGGACTTCTGCTATGTCTCCCCTGAACATTCTCTCCATTAGGCTAAACCTAACAAGTTCCTTTAGCCATTCATCATATTGTTTGGTTGTATCATTCATCCCAACGTGAAAGAGAAAGGAATAATAAATGGGCTTAATTATTTGGATAAGCTTCTCTGTCACATCTTTTATATATACATTTATACATTTGTCATTCCATTTATAGAATTATAATATTCCATTTGGGTTGCTTTATTTACCATCCCTCACCTGTTTTGACACCACCTTCTTCTCCCTTTCTTTTCTCCCTCCCTCCCTTCTATATTTCCTTCCTTCCTCCTTTCTTTTTCTTCTTCCCTTACCTCTCCCCTCATCCTCTTCTCCTTCTTACCCTCTCCTTCTCTCCTCCTCCCTTCCACCTTCCTCTATCTTCCTTCCCTTTTTTCTCTCATCTTTCCTCTCTTCCTTTCTCTCCCTCCCTCCCTTCTCTACTTTCTTCTTTCCTTCTCTCCTTTCCCTTTCTTCTTCCCTTATCTCTCCCCTACTTCTCTCTACCTCTTCCCTTTCCTACCTTCTCCTTTTCTCCTTCCTCTCCTCTCCTCCTCTCTTCCTTTCTTTTTCTATTGTTGCAGGTATCTCTTCCAGCTCTTAATTTATATTTTCATGGAGTGGTATTTCCGCAAACCCAAAAATCGGTGAATATTATTTCTTGTTCCTTTTCCTTCTCTCTCTCTCTCTCTTTTAAAAAGAATATTTTTCTTTTTTGGACAACACATAACACATAGAACCTTCTTCAATCACATACAGCATGTCGCTTGGTTGTAAAGTTTTTGTGCATCATTTCCATAGTCCTCACTTTAAATTGTATATAAAATCACAAATTATCAATCTGGTGTATATGTATACATTATTATCATCGTATATCATGTATTTGACTATAATTATTATTCCTTCATTTTGAACGAAATATTCTAGATATTGGATTCATTTATATTATAACAATTCATTACATC